TATAATTGGCCTCTGGTGCTGGGAGAAGGAAGAAGGATAATTATTCATGAGCCTTCTTTCATTTATAGTCAGTTCTGCTATAACAGGACATATGTGTTTCTAAAAATCACCACGCTGCAAGACTGTGCAAAAAAAAAAGGGGGGGGGAGCTTATGGGAAAAATACCCATTGAGTCGATTCCGACTCACAGCAAAAAAAAGAAGCCCTCAATGTGGTACAGTGGTTAAGCGCTCAGCTGCTAACTGAAAGGTCGGCAGTTGGAACCCACCAGCCGCTCCGAGGGAGAAAGCCGTGGCAGTCTCCTTCTGTAAAGATTATAGCCTTGGAAACCCTATAGGGCAGTTCTGCTCTGTCCTATAGAGTCTCTATGACTTGGAATTTACTTGACGGTGATGGGTTTTTATGGGAAAAATGGGGTTAGGGGCATAACATTCCCAAACTTCCTCAGTGATATTAAAAAAAAAAAGATGAGACCATAATAAAAGTGGTAAAAGTTTTAGATATGGCACTTGTCCTTGAAGAAGACCTGCAGCTGGCTTGGGGAGTGGGCCTTGGGAGGGCCGCAGCTTGGGAGTTACTGTGAGATCACAGAAGGAGGGTTGTCTAAATCAGATGGAACATCGTAATGCCAGATGTGCATGGGTATGGCTCGTCCTTGTGGGAGGCGGGTGTGTGTGTGCGGACGCGCGAGCGCTTGGTGGCTTGGTGTATCTATTCTGCGTTCTCGGTGAGAGAGGTCACGTATAAGCCAATGCAAAATTCATGTTATGCTCAAAGTGTTCCTAATGTATCAATTATTTGGAACAGATTTGCCTTTTCAAAACAAGTGATAGAGCAGAGCTGACCTTGTCTCCGGGAAGCTGATTATCCTGAGAACCTGCCCTCCCAGCTCCCTGAGGAGAGGTGATGTTCTTCAGCCCTGAGTAAAAGCCTCCAACCCACCAGGATCACTGGGAGCTCCTGACTTTCCAGGGTTCCTGTCCCCCTGCAACATCCTTGCCCTTCCTGCGTCCCCTCCCTCCTCCCAAGCCAAGGTGCTTGTTTGTTCAGGGCTACCATCCTGCATGGGTGCCCTCTTGTCCAGACCTCAAGGTGATTCCTGTGCCCTGCTCCCCACACCTTGGGGTATTGCTCTGCTCCTTGGGCAGCCACTCTGGGCTTCACATGGGTGTGTGGGGTATGGTTTTGGTGAGGTATTGCTTACCCTTGGGGTGTATATATCCCCATTGCCAAATTCTCAAACGATTCAGTTAGAAAATAGCAGCTAAAATGTTTGAGCGAATGTATATCTTGGAACATTGGAAGAGGAATGGAAGCTTCTGCAATGTATCTGTTGGCATTTCCATCAGAGCCATATTATTGAGCAGCATGTACTGTTTGACAATTATGTTAGATTCTCGTGAGGCCCTGAGCATTAAAAATCAACCTAGGTGAATTGCAGATTTGAAAACCACTGGTTTTGGGGAGCAATTGCTTCTGTCTGCTTGCTGTTACTGACCCATATCATAGGCAAGAAAACTTACTGATTCTCAGCCCACGTCGCTGTGATGTGGTATAGCTGGATAATTTGGTTTTGTAGTACCCCCTCAAAACCTGTGTTCATGTGCCTGGATGACTTGTTATGTTTTGACTCATAAATGCATGGTTTGATATGCAGCATTAAATATGTTATAAAATCACTCCTACCAACGCTTTTAAAAAAAGATAGTGTTTTAAAAATTATTTTATAAAGGTTTTCAAAAATACAAAATTTAAAAAGGATAGTATAAGGAACTCCTGTGTACCTGTCCTCAGCAATGACAATGATCAACTCATTGGGCAGTCATGTTTCATCTACAGCTCCCCAACCACTCCTGCACTCAACTACTTAGTGTCCCCTACTATTAAATGTGGAGCCCTGGTAGCACAGTGGTTAAGAGCTCAGGCTGCTAACCAAAAGGTTGGCAAGTTTGAATCCATCAGCTGCTCCTTGGAAACCCTGTGGGGCAGTTCTCCTCTGTCCTGTAGGGTCACTATGAGTCGGAATCAACTCGACAGCAATGAGAAGTAGTAGTAGTACTATTAAATGTGAACAGACAATATCTGAGGAAAGACCCTCTGCAAAAGATGAAAATCAAAGGGGGGGCAAAAAAGCAACTTCCCACGGGAAACAGAGACTATAAGGAAACATCCCTCCCCCTTCTCAAAAGTTGATATTTTCAGAGAAATAAGAGATCTTGCAGCCATAATAAACAAAAAGCTGATTTTTTAAAAAGAAAACAAAATAAGTACTCATCAGAAGTAGCGTCTGGGGTCTTAAAAGCCTGTGAGCAGCCATCTGAGATATTCCACTGGTCTCACCCCTTTGGGAGCAAGGGAGAATGAAGAAAACTAAAGATACAAGGAAAAGGTTAGTCCAAAGGACTAAT